ACCACGTCAACCGATGTTGGACAAGCTTTTCTTCAATTGGTGCTACCCCTAGGCGATCACATATATCATCGTTCCGCACTCGGTCCATTCTTGTGTGACCACAAATCCATCGCAACATACGCATTTCTGCAACACTTAGTTGTTGAACATGTCAAATCTTTGTAGGCCAACATTCGGCTCCACACAACATAGCCGGTCTAATCGCTGTTCTATAAAACTTGTCTTTTAGCTTTTATTGTACCCTCTTGTCACACAGAATGCCAGAAGCTTGTCGCCACTTAATCCATCCTGCTTTGATTCTATGGCTAACGTCGGCATCAATATCTCTATCCCTTTGTAGCATTGATCCCAGATAACAAAAGGTATCCTTCTTAGGCACTACTTGACCTTCCAAACTCACATCTCCCTCCTCCTGTGCAGCTCCGCCAAAGTCACATCTCATGTATTCGGTTTTAGTTCTGCTTAATCTAAAATCTTTAGACTCAAGGGTCTGCCGCCACAACTCTAGTTTCCTATGTACTCCTGCCTGGCTTTCGTCCACTAACACTACATCATCAGCGAACAATATACACCAAGGGATATCCCCTTGTATGTTTCTGGTAACCTTATCTATTACCAAGGCAAAGAGATACGGGCTCAAGGTTGACCCTTGATGAAGTCATATTTTAATCGGGAAGTAATCTGTGTTACCATCATTTGTTCGAACACTAGTCACATCATTGTTGTACATGTCCTTGATGAGGGTCGCGTACTTTGTCCAAAATTGTTAAATTTCCTGGGCGACTGAATGTGCCAGTATGCAACAATTCATTCAGCAGTATATTTACAATATCTGGTATATCTTGTGAACACGCACAATGTCTGTGTATATCCTGGCCTAGGACTCTTGCATTACTCCCGAAAGTATTAGTTTACATGTACCATGCAAAACCAACTTTCTAGAGTAGCTCTGGCCTCTGGAATGATGGCACTTGGAAGGGATTACTTTGGTACTTCTAGTCGGGGATGTAAACCTGCTACTGCTACATGGCAGCACCGTGAAGTTTGGTTCTTAAAATTATATGGACTGATTATACTGCAGCCTGCACTATCTCAGATTTTTGGATCTTCATGCTTCCGTCTTATGTAAACATGCAGGTTGGTCTGGCCCCGAGATCTTTGTTATGTACGATATTGGCGGCGCAACGATGATGGAAGCTATGGTAATTTTTAAGTGATTTCTTTTCTGGTTACTCATCCATTGAGAATGCCCTTTTTGATCTTTGTGCGTAAACTTGCAGTTGTGCTGTTTCGATCTACCGAACATCAGAACTGTGGCCCTCAACCAGGATTTGTGAGAGCTTCTATCGAAAGTAATTTGCCTTCTGCTTTTTCAGGAATCTATCCTTTAAAAAAAAAAATAGTTTGCCACCTTTCTTCCTTTTTCCTTAACTTCATACTAGTTCAGGTGGAGGTTTCAAGATTTCCCCTCTCAAAAGCCTCAACGGGAGACCGCGCACTCAAGTTCAACACCTTATGCAAATTGATGTTAGGGGATGGGGCGTGAACTACTTACCATCATTCCAGTACCACTCTTTGTTGCAGATGCTGAACTGTGTTGCTGGTACAAAGAACGCACAACTATTTAACCTGTAATTACATGATGTCTTGATTATCTATCAATAATAAAGTGCAAACAAAGCTTGGTCTCAATGTCCCTTTGCCTGATGGTTTGTGGTCATGAGGATTTGACATTATATTTATTTCCAGGATTGCGTGAATATTTTTCGCAAACAGATGAAATTCGTACAGTTCCAAGGATTCCGGTGATGCATACCATGGTTAATGCGGTCCCAATGAAGAAGGACCAGAACCTTCAAGAACCTGAGTCGAAGACCAAACAAACTGATAGCAAACATTTGGATATGGTAGATGAAGAGTCGGAAGATGACGATGACTATCAAGTTCCTGAAGCTGATTTGGAGGTGAATACCTGTTTTACAGTCACACCCTAAAAACATTCACCCTACTTCTGTACTTTGCCAAAAGTTTTGTTGTTCGTCACTTCACAGTTTCATTGCAATTCATATACAGGAAGAACCTACCAAATCCGACAGTGATGCTAAGAGCTCAGGTTAGTTTTTTTTTTTTTTTCAAATTTCCATTCTTGTAGTTTGATTGATGACTTTATAGGTTGCCCAGTCATGTCTTAACCTGATCCCTTTGCCATTCTATTTGGTGGTCCTTCAGACCCAATAGATTTGTCTTGGTTTTCGGGCATTATTCGTCAGGATACAAATGAGAAAAGTCGTAACTGTTGGGCAGTACCTGATAGCAAGATCTTTAAAGTTCGTAGCAAGACCTTTCCACATGACAAATCAAAGGTCCAGGCGTTCAAGTGACACAATTGGTTTATTTTCTTTTTGTAGCCTAGCAGGCAATCAAGTGCTTAGTATTTTGTCATTTGACTTGCAGGTACCAGCAGGGAAGTATCTTATGGAGCTCGTAGCGATTGACTGGTTTAAAGACACCAAGCGTATGGATCACGTTGCTAGGCGGAAAGGATCTGCGGCTCAGGTCAGAAAACCTGTCATGGACTCATGGTTGCTTAATGGCACATTCCTATCTCAGTCCACTTTTTCTGTAACCGGAATGCAAACTTGGAATAGTAGAATACCATTGTCTCGGAGGACTATTAGTTCAACCAAAACTTTCCTTTCAAATAAAATACCATTGTTGCATATGGATTTAGATTAGTGTTCCTGCTCCTAACTAATACAGTGCTTCTGCTACATGATGATTTCAACTGAACCTTTACTAATGTAGGTTGCTGCTGATAAGGGAATGTTCACTTTCCTGGTAAACATACAAGTAAGCTCCTGTTCTAACAATCCCTCCATGTTCATTTCTTTCTGTCCTGCTTGGATCTTTTCTCACAGAAACGTGACCGCACAGAGCACAAAAGAAAATAAAAATAAATTGGTGCCTTGCACAACAATCTGCATGTTTTTTAAATGCCTAATTGGTATTGATTCATAAATCATACAGAGTAGTTCATAAACATTACAAACAAGAGCAGGTGCGAATACATTGAAAATTTATGACAGACATTCTTTGCGTGATTGTTATTTATCACTTTCTCAACTAATTTTGAGAATTAAATGATAAACTTATGGATTTCTTCCAAGTTTGTTCCTATTGCTGATTTTTCTCCTATACTTAGGTTATGCTCTTTAAGTCACTGTTCTCCTGCAGATTCCTGGACCAAGTCATTACAGCTTGGTCCTTTATTTTGTCTCAAATTCCTTGGAGAAAGGATCACTGTTGCAGCGTTTTGCTGATGGTGATGATGATTTTCGAAACAGCAGACTGAAGCTTATCCCATCTGTTCCAAAGGTCTGTTCCAGTGTGAAGTCATTCGAAGTGTTTTTTGTAAGCCGTTCTCACTTTAGCACGCTCAAATTCTTCAGGGGTCTTGGATAGTGCGGCAAAGTGTTGGAAGCACACCTTGCTTACTGGGGAAAGCCGTGGACTGCAGCTATTTGCGTGGTCCTGACTACTTAGAAGTAAGTCCCTTCATCAGTAACATAGCTCCAATTTGAATTCTTTTAGTTGATGAACAGCGAAATACATTCTATTGGTCATGTGTGAGCACGGTTCAGTTGAATTCAGATTGAACAAGTAGAACGTCGCATTCTTTTTGCTCATGCATGGGCTACAAACCTACGATGAATACATTCTTACATCGTGACAATTCTACAGGTGGATGTAGATATTGGTTCATCAGCGGTAGCCAATGGGGTCCTGGGCTTGGTGTTTGGTGTTGTTACCACCTTGGTAGTCGACATGGCGTTTCTTATACAGGTAAATAAAACCCCGTAGACAATCTTTGTTTCTCTCCGGCTCTAGTTCAGTGACTTCTCTGCCAAATGCTTGTTTTCTGACTGTTGCGTTGCACCTGCAGGCAAACACATACGACGAGCTCCCAGAGCAGCTCCTAGGCGCTGCGCGGCTATCACACATAGAACCTTCCGCAGCAGTGTATCCTGACCTTGAAAACATTTCCTGAGCGGGACAAATCAATCTGTGCAGATTCTTTCATTCTTTCCCCCAAAGGCCCAAACGCTCTCACTTTGTTCAGTCACTGCAGCATTTTGCAGTTCGATACAGTGAGGTTCAGACAGACTGCAGCAGTCCACAACCACAAGTGCCTTGTACCTCGCCTTCATACAGTTTTGACTTTTTTGGGGTCTTTTTTTATTAATACTTTGCTGGTGTAGCTTGGGCTTCTTACAGATATTGTAATGCAATAGATACATCAAAGTGAGATATACAGATTCATCATGGTTCGGAAACCAATTCGTGTACATTCGCAGCCCTGCAACGAGGATACATCAGTGCTATCGTATATATTGGTTGAAAAATATACACCGGCCTGGTAGATGACCTTTTGTGCATTGTGCACTTAATATGTGTCGAGTTTTTTTTTTGGTTGAAATCCTGGTCTCCAATAAGAAAATCTCTATTCGTCAGAAAAAGAAAGGAACAATCGAGGCACACAATTGGCGGTACAGATGAAGTTGAGTAAATTTCAAAAACCTAGACCTATTTTTGACACATGTTGCAACAAAAAGACATATTTTTAGATAATGAACAAAAAGAGACATGAGGTCATAAGAACTTATAGTTTGTATTGTAGGTTTGCATAATGGGCATAAGAAGTTTTTTTTTTGCAACATGTATCAAAATAGTAGTAAGTTCTGAAATTTAACTCGATGAAATTCGTGCACATCCCGAGCCGCTGAAACTCGCCTTTTGTGCTTTCACCAATTGGGCTTCCTTCATTGCTCCTCAGATCCGATCCATGAATGCCACTTTAGGCCCATGACAGCCCAAACCTCAGTGGGCTTAAACCTCTCGCCGTCACGCAGCTTTAAATCCGGATCCCCACACACACTCCGCTTCCGCATCCATTCCCCATTGCCCCTTCCACTATCCCCGCCAGCTAGGGTTTTACCACCATGGCCGCCGCCGCCGCCGCAGCCGCCGCGCGGAGGCTCCTCTCCCGCCGCGCCTCCTCGTCCTCCCTCTCCGCGCTCCTCCGACGCGGCGCTGCTGCAGAGCAGTCGCTGCTGCTGCGCCCGGCCGTCGTCGCGGCGGCCTCTCGCTTCGGCTTCACGCGCGGGATGGCGCGGCGGCCGGGCGGGGACGGCTACGGCCCTACGCGGCCCGGCGCGGGCGGGGACCGCGCGCCCTCGGAGATGGCGCCGCTGTTCCCTGGGTGCGACTACGAGCACTGGCTCATCGTGATGGACAAGCCCGGCGGGGAGGGCGCCACCAAGCAGCAGATGATCGACTGCTACATCCAGACCCTCGCCAAGGTCCTCGGAAGGTACGTACGGCTCGTTCTCCTCCGACCCGCCGAGGCACCAATCGTCCCCTTCCAAGATTGCCGTAGTTCCCCCTTCGAAGCTGAGGAGTGGGGTGGTTTTCGAAAATGAAATCTGACGTTTTTTTTCTGTGATACAGCGAGGAGGAGGCGAAGAAAAAGATCTACAACGTCTCGTGCGAGCGCTACTTCGGGTTTGGGTGCGAGATCGATGAAGAGACATCTAATAAGCTCGAGGGTTCGTTCAATCTATTCTCTAGATGCCATTATTACTTTGCTGCCTTTTTGCTAAATTCGACCTGATACATATCTGATGACGTTTTGTTTATGTTGAGCTACAGGGCTCCCTGGTGTTCTCTTTGTGCTCCCGGATTCGTATGTTGATCCTGAGTACAAGGACTATGGAGGTAGCTTTCTTCTCTTGCCCCAGTTATCACTGTGTGATTGTTCATATCTTACTTAAAATGGCATATCGTTATGCTGCTACTAGATTTTGTCTAGCATATTGGATCGGTTGTTGTAAATAGCATATTTCATCATGGAAGCGTGATGAAGCCAGCACATTAGTTTCCTTCTTCCAATGGCTATGGATTGATATCTACACTTTCTTTTAGCCTTACCTGAATGAGACGGGAAATTAGGCTTATTATTGAATTGGTAGACATGCTTCCATTTCAATGCTGTCTCGTCAGGCCAAATCTTATGCTGTTGATATTCTAGTCCATCTTGGCAAAGCTGTGTGAAGCCTTTTGGGCAATGCCCAGCTTTGAATGCTAATGGACTGATAACAAGTGTGTCTCTAACGATTCTGCGCTTCAATGAAATGGGGCTCAGATCAGTAGGGATGAGACATTGCAAGCTCATTTCATGCCAATCTAGAGGCTTTTATATGTTCTGTCTTCAGTAGTCGAACCAGTGTCCAGTCTCAACCACGCTGGTTCTAGTCCATCTTTGCAAAGTTTGGAGCCTAGTCCACAATGTCTTGCTTTGAATGCTAATGGACTGATAATTAGTCTCTCTAACGGTTCCGTGTTTTGATGAAATGAGGCTCAGATCAGTAGGGATGAGACATTACTAGCACATTTTCGAGCCTAACCTAGAGAGGCTTTTATGAGTTTTATCTTCGGTAGCTGAACCAGTGTCCAGTTCAACCACACTGGTTTTCTAGTCCATCTTGGCAAAGCATGGAGCCTAGTTGGCAATGTCTTGCTTTGAATGCTAATGGACTAATAACAATGGTCTCTCTAACGGTTCTGCACCTCAATAAAATGGGGCACAGATCAGTAGGGATGAGACATTTGTTTTGCATTTTACTTGCATGTTTAGGCTTCTTTGTATGTTTATCTTTGGTAGTGTCTGTTTACCATTCTTAACCACACTAGTGTTCTAGTCCATCTTGGCTGAACATGGAACTTACCCAGCAATGTCTTTAGACTAGCAAGTGTCTCTCTAACTGTTCTTCACCTTAATGAAATGGGTCACAGATCAGTAGCTATGAAACAACTGCTACTATGAACAGTTGTGGTTTGCCATGGTGAAAATGAATTGAAATGAAACCCAACCTTACTTGGTTTTGAGAGAGAATTGTTGCCAAACCCAACCTTACTTGTACTCTCTGATCCATGGTATCCTCATGTCACATGTTTTTGTGCCATCATTTTGTTTAGTCCATCTTGGCAAAACAAGATAATCAATTGGCAATGTCTTGTTTTGAATGCTAATAATGGACAACTCCCATCTTGGTTCTGCTCTTTACGAAACGAAACTAGAGTTGTGGATCAGCGGAGATAAAACATTGGATACTCCAATTGTCCTAGCATATTGGACGAACATTGGCTGTTTGGAATCACTATAGTATTAGTGATGATAGGATTTTTTTATATGTTCTGTTTTCTGGTTATTTTTGCATTGCTGTTGGAAAAATATGCTAATGCCCCTAACCTTTTTGTTCCACAGCTGAACTCTTTGTCAACGGTGAGATTGTTCACAGGCCTCCTGAGAGGCAGAGAAGGGTCGAGCCGGTGCCACAGAGGTCAGCAGATAGGCCCAGGTACAATGACAGGACGCGCTACGCACGCAGGAGGGAGAACCAGCGATGAGGGGATAAAAAGAGCACAATAACAGGTCCAGGTGGTTTCAGCTCTGAAATTGAAGGATAGTATCACATCTACTAAATGGACAATGTCCCAGTTGCATGTTCACCTTATGCGGTCTAGAGTATCGTTTCTATGTGCTCAACTTGGATGTATTGTACTCTGTAATTACAGTTACTCAGAGATTGAAAGGACCTGGCTTGGAATGCATGCATTGTTACTAGCACATTATTGCAGCCTTTTGCACTTGTAAATTTGTTTCATGTTTGAAACTTCTACTAGATTGACTATGAGTTTATGAAGAATCTATAATTTCATTAGTTTCTTGCACCTTAATTGCGCTTGCATCTCTTGAGAAAATCAGTATTGCAGTGTGGCATACTTGTCAATGTGGGCAAGCGTCAGCTTCAGCTGACAGGTTTTTTTTTTTTTTTTTTTTTGAGAGGTTGAGCTGACTGCATTTGCAGCTTATGAACCACTCTTTAGTGCAATTGGAAAAACCCTCTTGAAACATATATGTAGGCCTGACTACCGGCTACAGGCTACTTGGCGAATTCGACAAGGCTTTATTGTACCGTAGATCGGTAGTAAGCGGCTGCCGGCTACAGGCTACTTGGCGAATTCGACAAGGCTTTATTGTACCCTAGATCGGTAGTTCGGTAGTAAGCGGTTGGACTTGTTTTGGTTCTCTGGCATGCAGTTCTGTGCTCTATCTCAATTACTGACTGCAGAAAAAGATTTGAGCTTGTTTGCTGAAACTTACATATCCCATGAAATTGTTCGTTTTAAATTATTATATTTTGTACTATAACAAATATGCTGCAAAGTCAAATGCTATGATATGTAGTCAAGTTTTGATTCAGTTTTACTATAGTCGCCTTTATTGTTCAGGACGAAAACAAGACCTAGAGCACCTTGCACGTTTTCACCCTTTTGCAGTCTCAGTCTGCCAGCTTGTCTTGTTTATTTGTGGCAACGTATATTTTCCTATCATTGCCATGAGCCTATGAATACTATGCCAATGCTTCCATTGTTCTTGAACCAGATGCTTCCACTGTTCTTCAACCAGATTGAGATGGTTGCTTACTGTTCGCAGCTCAACTTTTTGCCATTGTTCAGAGGCGTCCAGAGATACAGGCCTGTGACATTCTACAACTGCTGACTTGCTAGATAGATTATTATGAACTCATGAAGATCCACAACTTCATTAGTTTTGTGTTATTCCATAATTCTGCTTTCTGCTCCTGATAATCGGTACTGTGATGCACCATGACCCTGTGATAACTTTCTGAACTGCACACCAAATGTCAAATAACCTGTCATTGCTGAGAAGCCTCAGCTTGAGCCGCCTACTGCAAGTACAGCTCGACGACCTTCTCCTGCGAGAAGTCGGTGAAGTACCCTTCGCCGACGCCGACTCCCATCTCGGCGGCTAGCCGGCGCACCCTCTCCAGCACCTGTTCCGCGCCCACCGCGGCCGGGTCGAGCAGGTTGCAGGCGACCTCGGCGGCGCCGTCGCCGTGCGCGAGCCCCATGGCCTGCACGGACGCGAGCCCGCCGCCGCGCTCGCTGACGGCGCGCGCGATGCGCCTCGCGGCGCCGACGTCGGCCGTGCGCACGGGCACGTTGTAGTTGTCCACCCACGCCGTGGCGCCCACCACCACCACGCCCTTGGACCTGGACGGCGTCCCGGGCCCCGCGTCGGGGGCCACCGGCAGCGGCGACGACGGCCACGCGTCCGGCGCGCCGCGCCATTGTTCGCCGCCCAGGGAGGTCGGCGTGAAGTAGCCTAACTGCCTCCTGATGGACGCCAGCGTCCTGCCGTCTTTGTGAGCTGCGCCGTAGAGATACGTAGGCACTGCTACATAGAAATGCACAATGGTTAAGCACATGTTTCAGTGAAAATTGCAGATTTTGGCCCTAAAAGGTGGTTTATCTGCAAGGCTTATGCAATTGTATATAGCAAAGATGGTGCCTTTTTTTTTTGGCTCAGTTGATTGATTCTTAGATGCAGTCGTCTATTCATCAATTGCAGCAAAATCGCATTTGGGGGGTGAGGAGCAACGGACCTTGAAGCTTGTCTCCAATGTCCGCCGCCACAGCCCTGGTGAGCGCGGCAACGTCCTCGAGGCGGGCGCCGGCCAGAGGGTGGAACGCGACGTGGTCGACGACGCCGAGGCGCGGGTGCGCGCCGGCGTGGACGCCGAAGTCAACAGCCTCGAGCGCGGCCGCGACCACGCGGAACGCCGCGCGGTGCAGCGGCGGCGGCGAGGCGGCGACGTCGCCTGCGAGAGGGGACACGAGCGTGTACCCGACCCGGTTGTAATCGTCGTCGGCGAAGGCGTTCACGAGCACGGCCGCCGGGCGGAGCCCCGCCGCCGCGCGCTCGATGGCGCGCAGCGCCCCCGCGTTGCGGGCCTCGGAGATGTAGAGCTTGCAGCACGCCAGCGCCGGCCTCACCATGCTCGCGCCGTCGTCCCTCTTCGCCTGCGTCGTCGTCGGGACGACAGCAGCAGCATTTTTATGGGCTTGGGGGAATTTGAGACGATAGCAACAGTTTGTTTGGTGAAGAGATGGTGGCTGCATTTGGTGGTGCAGAACCGCTCGTCTGGTACATGCGAGCTGCGGCCACAGATTTGTACCAAAAAGTAACTTTTTTATAATCTCACCTTTTGAGTAATCATATTTTTTTAATTTAATTAAATTTACAGAAAATTGTACCAAATGAATTGGCATCTTCAGAGATCGGCACAAACCCATGCCAACCCCCACGAATTATACTTCCTCCGTTCCAAATTACAAATCATTCTAATTTTTTTAGAGAGTCAAGCATCTTAAATTCAACCAAAATTATTAAGATTCGTGACATGGTATACTATAAAAATTATAATTAACAAAGAATATAATCGTACTTATTATGTATCATTAATGTTATTATTTTGTTATTTAAATTTGATTAAACTTGAAATGCTTTGACTTTTCAAGAAAGTTAGAATGAGTTAGAGCATCTCCGAGAGCATCTGTAAATTTGAATGTCTAAACTGGGCCTGTTCGCTTGAACTTATCAGCTGGCTTATCAGCTATAATCTACAGTATTTTTCTCTCACAACAAAACAGCTTCAATCGACTTTAATAACAGCCTATTCAAAATGGAGAAGTTCCACGGCAGCTTCTCCAAAACTGGCTCTTTATTTCGAAAACTGCCACCACGTCATTAGACCCCACATTAAAACTACTCGAATTACTGTACCACTGTAGCGAATACTGTGCCTCGTTTGCTAAGTGCTGCACTCGCACACGGTCTGAACTCTGAAACATCCATCTGCAAGCTCTCTCTCTATCTTATCATGTTCGATCATTCAGTCCTCACCGCTCGTTCCTCCATTGTTCAGGCACTGAGTGGCTACACATCTTGAGGTGGTGCCAGCGGGGAGCACGGAGCAGCCGGGCGTGGCAGGTGGTGCGAGCGCGGTTGGATGAGGTGCTGCGTCGTTGTGTAGCGCGGTGGGCTGCAGCACGTCGTTGTGTAGTGCGTCATCGAGGCGCGCGCGGTAAACACGGGGGCGACCCGGATGGCGAGCGATGCCCGCTCGCCTACTCTGATGAGCGAAGAAAGCGGGATAGACTGCTCGGTATTTTGGAGAACATGTTAACGAGACTGTTGGAGTTGCTCTTATAATTTAGCACGGAAAGAGTATATCGGCATGTCTATATTCTTCGAAACAGATAAAAGGAATTGGAAATACATCTTTCGTCAAGAACAGGAAGAAAGTTTAGCCAGGCACTACAGTGAACAGGAAGAAAGTTTAGCCAGGCACTACAGCAGTCCATCTTAATAAAAGCCGAAATCTCGACAGAACATGAATTGGCATCGGTACCGTGTGTTTTTACATCAGCTCACTCTGATCCACAAAATTGTACAGGAGTCCTTGCACACCCTGCTAGTATTAGGCTTAGGATTAAACACATCAGGCAGGGCGATCTAGTTATTCCAACTACAAAATCCCAAACAAAGATCTATATGTTGCGGTGGGAATTCCAGCATTCCACGCAACCAGCTATATCTTGCCCCTGCGAATTTCAGGCAGCAGCCTATTCTACCTCACCGTATAAATATCAGCTAAGGCGCTATTGGAACGTGGATTGGCTCCTAAAATCGGCTATCCTGATGCCCCGGCTGCCTTCGCGTCCTTCTCATCTTCGCCTTGCTCTTCCTTCGCGAATTCCTCAATCAGCACCCGCTGTCTTGGTGTCAAATTTCTGCAGGACATTATATGTGAGACTCACATATAGCAGTTCGATGCACAATAGTATAAGAGTACTCCATTTTGAGAGGCAGCTTACACAGGGATGTTGACATTGAAATGGACATATTGATCTCCATAGTACGGTGAGTTTCTTGCCTTGATCCCTGCAGGATACATCAGTATTTAGGTTTTGGTTTATATGCACATGCAAGTTCCCACAACTTCTTAAATTCAAATTGGCAGCTCACCTAGATGCCGCTTAAATTTATAACACATAAGCAGGAAAATTTATAACACACCAACTCACGCCAAACTTTTGTTATTTCCACACAAGAAAATAATCTGACATCACTATGTTCCAGAAAACTTTTGGATATTCATCAACTTAATTGTTTCATCTTGTGCACATTCTGTTCCCTTATCTCTCTGTGTGCTATTAAATATTAATATTTTTCCTGTTTCACTTAACCTAACCGCTTCATTTTGTGCAGTTAACTAAACAACAATAATTTTAGGAACACCAGGCATGCCATTCAAAAGACTACAAGTACGCATTATAGCTGTGTTACAAGCTGTAATTAAAGAGATAAATGCACTCGCAAAACAGAACAGAAATCTGCAGAGTAAATTACCCTTTCCTCTCAGAACTACCTTCTGACCAGGTTGAGTACCAGGTTTGACCTGTAAGAAGATAGCAAGGTCAATGAAAATTATCAAAGATATAAAGGGAATGTACAATGAAAGTCAGCTATCTGACGT